AGGAGAGAACTACACCAAAGAAAGCATGCAAATTAAATGAATGAAAAAGTCCTTGATAAAGAAATGTCAAGGAGAAACTCCCCTTAAAATAATCATTAAATTGGTTTATTCCATAATAAAAATACGCATCAAGTATTTCGAAGAGGAGATAGATAATAGATAGAATGGAAAGTCAATGATGGTCGCTAATTGATCTCTTGAAAAACTTAGAACTTGTTAAATCTATCGTTTTCTACTTTGTCGACCTAATGGAAAGTTGTAAAAGTCTGTTGAAAATTTAAAAAGTATTATACTGATTTCGCCGTAACTCCCACGACACCTCATATGCGTCGCCAGCTTACTAGTTAATATCCCTGCGGACAAAGATATGTCTTGTGTTTACAATAAGTTTTTTACCTTTGGAGTTTGGAGCGAAATATTAGGTATAGCGCATTGAATATCTAATATTTCGAAGTGCGCACATATTTCTTATGGCTAGCATTAGTTGGACTGTGCTGCCTAGTTAGTTGAATAACACAAAATATAATTTACATTCGTATTTATGTATGAGTTGTTATTATATTGATTATTTCATCATCAGTTTAAATTTTAAATCCATTGCAGCGTGTCGTAAGATGCAAGGCGAAGTAAATTACGTCACTATTGATTATTATTCAATCAAAATGACCAAATTTAATTTATGTATTTACCTAAAACATTATCTATACTTACTAATATTATATGTTTTTCTGTTTGTTTGTTTTGAATGAATAAACTCAAAAAAAAAATCATACAATTAAAAAAAACACCTATTGAAAGTTACCTTATCAGTGAGTAACATAGGCTGTATTATTTTAAAAAATATAGAGATTATATACCCCAATATGATAATGTACCCCAAAATATTAAAATATTGCCTATCAAGGCTAATATAAAATACTAATTTATCTTTCTATCTACTCGCGCGAAGTCGGGGCATATTGCTAGTTATAGAATAAAGTGGTAAGTTTTATTTTTTATATTCCGCAATAGTGCACAGGAAACGAAGGTGGGCGAGCAAGACTTATTGCTTCCAGGATTTATTGCAGCGGCTAGTAGGGTTATCAAAAACACGGTCAATAATTTATTCTAACTGTATAAGTATACAAGCGGAAAACATACAATGCCGACCCCAAGTAATGGGAGGGCAAGGTGGCAAGGTCATGGTGATAACTATGCATGTATAGTGAAAGAGAGAATAGGTGTGCATAAAGCATGTATAGGTATAGTACAACCGAAAACGTCGTGGTTTAGTGGTATGCTACTACGACTTAGAAACCCCAAATGTAGTAAGTTTGAATTATATACTAAATGTATAAATAATCCTATACTTTTTTAAGTTATTTGTCTAAGGCAAGCACTGTCAAATTTTATATATTGTCTGTTTGTGAAAACCTATAAATGGCTTCATGGTTGTTATCTTGCAGTTATTTTTTATGTAAATAAGTCTTGGCTTACAATACCTACAAATAAATATAACCAAAAACCATTAATTTAAATTTTCGACTATATAGTGAAGGATAATACCGTCAACAAACCAAATTAATTTAGAAGGTGGATACGCTCACCCGCTGTCATGTATGCTTGGCGAAATGTAGGCATATCCAGAGTAAATCATTAATTGAGCGCAGTCGTTAGTATATTTAAATTTATTCTTATGGTTGGATAAGTAGAATACTTAGAACTTAAAATAGAATAGAATAGAATAGAATAGAATAGAAATCATTTATTCAAATAAACTTACATTGAAGCACTTTTGAAAAGTCATTACATTTTTTTTTAATCTACCGCTCGTTCGGAAAGCTGTCTCATCACAAGAAGAACGAGCAAGAAACTTGCGTGTTGCTCTTTTAAATAATTTTATTATTACTTTACATTTTCAAGTTTAATTGTGTGAATACAAACCACCAATTAGCACTAATTCAATTAAATACTCAAAAAGAAAAAAAATATTGAATACATAACCAACTGGTTAAACAATTAATAAGAGGAAATCAGTCATAGTGATTAGAGCAGACCAGTCCCTACAAGCAGCACCCGTTCACGAGTATGACGGATGAGCCAGCCATCACTGCGCTCGACCATATTTTAGGGAGCCCAATGACCCGGCCCACCACGCCGCCACAAGTCTGGACATTTTAGTGAGCATGACTACTCAAAACACTAGACCACGTCAAAGCTACTCACAATTGCCATCTGATAGTTATAGTATTCACATTTTACATAAGAATGCATGCGGCAATTAATACAAAAAAACCGCTACGCTTTCATATTTCTAAAATTAATCAATTAAATCAAGAAAGCAATGAGAAAATAAAATTATAACGTTGTATGCTAATAAACTAATTATTTACTTGATATGTTGTCATCTATGAATTCGTCTATCCTGTAATAGGCTTTCTTACATAAAAATTGTTTAATATAAGATTTGAATTGCCTCTCTGTCAGATTTAATGCAGATTCCGGCAGTTTATTATAAAATCTTATGCAATTACCATAGAATGAATTACTGATTTTGTGCAGACGGCATTTAGGTAAAATAAGCTTATTTATATTGCGTAAGTTTCTACTTGTACAGTCTTTGAGTTTTTTAAAACTCTCTAAGTTCTTCCGTGTATACATAATATTTTCATAAATGTATTGTGAAGTAACTGTGAGGATATTTGAGTCTTTAAAGCACTGACGTAATGACTCTCTCGAACCCATACCATAAATAGAACGTATGGCTCTCTTTTGTAAAACAAATATAGTATTTATATCGGCTGCTTTACCCCACAGCAGTATGCCATAAGACATTATGCTATGGAAATAACTAAAATATACAAGTTTAGCCGTTGCCACGTCTGTTAATTGTCTAATTCTTCTAATTGCATATGCAGCAGAACTGAGTCTACTGGCCAATTTTGAAATATGGGGCCCCCATTGTAATTTCGAGTCCACTGTTATACCTAAAAAAACTGTATCATTAACAAAATTTACTATTTCATCATTAAGCAATAACTGTGTATTTATTAGTTTTTGAAAGTGAAAGTGAATTTTGAGTGAAAATTGAAAGTGAATATACAATTGCATTCCAATAAAAGTGAATGCTAAGTTCCCGGTGAACAGAACTGGGATTTTTTCCGACTGCGTAAAAAACTAGGAAACGATTGTTTACAGTAAGTTGCTTTGTATACAAATTCCGGTGATTAGTAGAAGGCGAGATAATTTACGAGGCACTTACAAAGTCTTCATCACCATATATTTACGACGAATCATAATAGTTTATCCCCTGTATAAATAACTGCAGGCGACAAATTGGAAATTTGCTAGATAATATGACTACATTATGTGATTGTATGATTGTGTTTGTGTGGGTCGATAGCTAAGTCTCTAAACTAGGGTTGCCATCGTATCTTTATAAATAATAAAAAAATTGAAAACATTGAGTAAATGGGTTTAGACGCACAGGCATGATACGGATTTCTTTTTTATTTGAAAACTCATAACTTATATCGTTTGTAATTTCATTAAAAAAATCAATTTATTTTTAGGTTTTTTGGAATGTAATGTTATTTAATTAAATATTTGGAAATTATTATTTAAATAGGCATAATTTTGTATGTAAGGTCGTTAATATAATATGAAGATGTACATATGTGTTGTGAGTAAGTTTATTTGAATAAAGACTATTGCTATTCTATACTTCTAAATCTGTGCATTATTATATAACTTATCTGTATTGAAAACAACTAATGAAAGTATTTTAATAATAACTTGTTCTACATAAGTGTATAGTAATACCTATTCCTATTTCCTTACCACAATGTTCGTTATCACATTTCTAGTTTTGCGTAAGTTATTTGAAACTGTAATTCATATGAGATAGTAGTTGCCTTATCTACCACAGAAAGTTACTTCAGACTTGAGGAATTATCACACGATATTTAATGCTTTTGCCAATTTCGCAAAAATTTTAACTTCGTAAATCGTACCTAGGCATTTGTCAATTTGACATTTTAAATTTATTTTATATGTACTTACATTTACATACTGATACCCATTAATTTTATTAAAAACTAGTTGCCCGTTACGGAACATTGAAACATTACCTAATTTTCTGTACGATTTTTCAATTTCTTACAAACATTGTCCTGCGATTTACACATATGAGTACAACAAAAACACAATTAACCAATTACATTAGGCAACTGATTTTTATATAGATCCGCACTACTATAGTACTACTAAAGTATGTGTAAAAACATATAATATGTTATAGTTTGTTTATGATATATCTAGATAAATAATTTCTCACTAAATCATTTTGTAATCGATTCACCTTCACCAGTTTTGAAAGTATAAGTTGGTTTGGTCATAACAAGTGGGCGCTTTATCTAAGCCACCGCTTGTATTATGAATGAAATCACACCTACCGAATCAATAACTTCCATATTCTTGTAATAGATTAGACCATTTATGATCTATGTTTCAATTGTATCTTCAATCTTCTTGTATCTTGTTTCAAAAGTCTAAAATATGTATATTTTTAATGAGAACCCGTCCCTGACATTATAAGTCGCATGTCCATTGTCTGACGTAATTACTAAACCTGACGTGAAGAGAATGCTCACGATTAACTATACTACACTAGTAATATAGTAGGAGTATGTTAGATAACCGACAGGTGTATCTCTATACATTAGCTAATGGAATCGAATAAATTTTGGAAGGTCATCACAAGATCTACTCGTATGTATAATATCTATCTTCACGACGAGTCTTTTGAGGGTAGGCAACGAGTGCCAAAGGCCTCTATTCATATATATTTCTTGTTTCTTTCACTTGAGATTCGGAGACTATTGATACCATCCTTAGATAGAATTCGGTCTATTTGATAATAAGCTAGTGTAGGTCTTTCCTGCTGCCTCGATCCATCCATCAAATACATATTACGTTTTTATTACTCTTTTAAATTAACACGTATCGTTTTATATCCGCAGGTTTGGCGCTGCTCATCGCAGGTGGCGTTCAGTACTCCAACTCACCAGAGTCCACCACTCCTGAAACTTCTGAAAGTGGTGTGGGAACCCTCATAGCGGGTGGTGTCATCCTCTGCCTTGGACTACTGTTTGCTGGTTAGTGTATATTGTTATATATAACAATATCTATATGAACAGGGCCAATTTTTATCTAGCCAGAGCTCCTGGAAAAATTTTTGACGGTACCTAATGACAATTACAAATTGGTCAATTCGGTGGCCAATTATTTTCTTGATTGTTGTGATACAGTCCCGCTAGTAGTCAAATTGCTAAAGTCTAATTTGATTTGACTTTTTACTGATGGGTAGCTCCTATTACGACTCCCGCGAACCTCCGGCGCCCCTCTCTAAGGCTGTTACAGTATATACTATATGAATGGTTACACTTGACTGAACATGTTGATTGTATGGCAGATTAGCGTGGGTAACTGCTGCGGATTTCTAATATTCATTTAGCAATGCATAAACCTATGAGGTTGGGGGGGAGGGATTTTTAGTAATGCGGACTAACAGTCCCATTGCTAGCAATATACCCTGTCAGGTCGACGTCAATGTGCAACCACCGTGCTGAATTCCAGGTGTATTCATCACGATAGGCGAATTGACCTGTCTTTTCATTCTCACCTATCATTCCTCACTGGTGCCTCGCCAGCGTATACCGCTAGCACAGGCGGGGCTATCATTCTATTTTTACACAATTTTCATTATTACCAATAGTTATAATTAGATAAATTAACTTTATATAAAATCAACATTCTATATGTAGCAATAAAAATTTAGCTGAACTAATATTATACTACGTAATGAGGGTTGAGCGCTGTTGTCTGAGATACAGGTTTTTATAACCTAGTTCCGACACAGATGTTTAAACTGATCCAAATGTACAAATGAATTCGTACCTACTTTTACTGTAATTTCCAGTGCTGAGTTTGTTACAATCATGGTTATGCAATAAAGTTATTATTATTATTATTATTAAAAAAGAAAGAAAAAAGAAAAAAAACCATTAAACAAAAACCTATAAGGTTATTATACATTTATATTTTATTTTTTACAACTACGAGTAAGACAAAACAAGCTGGCGACCTCCATAATTACGATAATACTCCTTTCGTATTGACTACTGTAATTTAGTATAGAAGATTGGAAAATGATTTTTTTATTTTTCACGCTATGTTTCTTGGTGAAAGTTCAGTTTCACAAATACTATCGATTCTATTTACTTACTTCAAAAGGGGGGTAAAGAGGTTTCTTCAGGATCAGCAACGCGCGCGTAATACCCCTGCTATTGCAGGCATTCATAAGCTACGTTTACGGCGTTTACCATCAGGTGGGCCGTATGCTTGCTTGTCACCTCAGTGATATAAAAAAGTTACTAAAATTCGACACACAACATCACAATCAGTATTGCAATTAGTACAGCATCGGTCAATACTAAATACAACAATTGAGATTATAAATGTCGTTATAAATTATGTAACGACCACGTAACAACAAAATATTATTGCAGAGAATAAAAATAAACAGCTAAAAGTTTCTAACTTTCTGTTTAGATAAATAACTTTATTGGACAACTTCAGTGGTAAAGCTCGAATCGTATATTTCCGAGAATCCGGAAATTCATTTAAATGTCGATAGGCAAGTTTTAATATGGGCATCGCTTCCGGTTCGATTCTCCGTGTAGGTAGTTAATTACAAAATCAATCAATAGTCGTTTCGTAAACATTTCTTTTATATTTAGACTCTTGGTATTTTTATTTACTAACTATTATAGAAATATCTTGCTGGTATGTATATAAAAATAATATTTCAATAGTAAAATTATCGTATGATGCACGACATCGAAGAATCGAAGCGACCTCAACTGGTATGAGCACTGGCTCCCGCGTGATGTACAAATTGCTAACAAGGTTCAAATCCTGCTCGTTTCGAATATAATTTTATAAGGAAATTATCTCAAAATATACTCTAATCATTAGTGAAACATTCAAACATTTAACTCCATCCATTAGCATTTCGTAGACGTTACGTCTTTTTGCGTTTGTTATTGCTTATATCTTGGGGAATATTTAGAGAAATTATTCGGATTAATATCAGCTGCTAAATAATATCAGCTGCTGAATTTCATCACCACAAACAATTTGTCATATGCTAAAATTCCATCCTTACCATCTGGATGAGTGATCTTCCACCGTACGATTCTGTAGACATTTTTTTCCACGCCCAAACAAAGTATGGAACTAACTCCCAGCAGCAGTATTTCCAAACAGATAAGATATTGAAACCTTCAAGAAAAAAGCATAATCCCTCTTAAAAGGCTGGCAAGACACCTGCAATTCCTCTGGGCGGCGGTTATCACTTACTATCACGTGAGCCGCATGCTCGTTTGCTCCCTGTCATAAAATAATCTATTTTTTATTTGTACTACTATTATTAAAAATCAGGTTAAGTTACATTTTTATTAAATTCTTTTGACATAATTAAATGAAATTAATATAGTATCAGTCCTATTCGAATAAATAAATAAATAAAAATAAATTGTTAAAATAGCTTCTGAATTGGCAAAGAATTTAAGATAACCTTTGTCTATGACCTGTAAATCTATAATTATGGGTAATATGACAGGTGTCGGCGGGTGGGCCTGGTCATCGAGGTGGGGAGGTGGGAAAGAGGCTCCGGCGAGTGGAGCTGCCGCCCTCACAGCTCTGAATCCCTCAACGGACCCGCTGGTCGCAGCGCAGTACGCACCGGTACGAGACGCGCCGCCCGCACCCGACGACGAGACACGCAACCTCATGGACAATAAAGAATGGTTTGTACTAAAATTTTATAGTATTAATAGTAACTCTATCTGTTAGTAATGGGAATCTAATAGCGTCATTGCTAAGACTATATCCTATCAGGTCAACCTCCATGCGGTTTCCCTTGGTTAATTCTTATAAAATTAGTCAAGGTGGGCTAACTGACTCGCTTTCATCCTCCCCTATCATTCTACACTTGTGTCCCGTCAGTGTATACCGATAGCGTAGGTGGGGTTACCATTCCATTATCGTCAAAAAAAAAAAAACTAGCTCTGCGTCACTGATCGCGTGCGTGATTGTAACCATTTTTGTATTCATTAAAATTCGTGATTTAGAGACAAATATACAAATATTTTTAGAAAATTTATTCATATTGGGGTAGTCAGAGGTATTTAGAGGCATATTGTTTAGTAGTAGAAACACGAGTAAAATAAAGGTATGTACCTAAGTTGTCTTTGTCTAAATTCGAGGATACTGGATCATTGACATGTCTTTATAAAATTAAATTGGGGGGGCAAATATTTAGGATTATATACCGTTATGATTTACCTTTATGATTTACCTTTACCGTTATTAAAAAAAAAAAAAACACTTAATGAACAAAGCCTATTACACTCTAAACGATTACTTGAATGACAAATGTGCATGGTGTTAGTCGATCATGCACGAACTTTTAACGACTATGTAATTTTTGACATAATACATTTAAATAAATACACATAGTGTTAACAGAGATTTAAAAAAGTAACTGTTGAATTTCTTGCGGCTTCTGCTCCTTCCGAACAACAACTTTCAGAACTGTAATAGATTAAAAAAATGGGCGATTTAAAAGTGCTTGTAAACAAGTCTATTTAAATAAAGATGATTTGAATTTAAAATTGGAACTTGTTTTATCGTTGACGTTGGTAATAGAGCGTATATACTTACTTACATTTTTTGTATCAGCTTGCATCGAATATTTTATTTATTTATTAATCCGCCAACAACTTAAACATTAAAACTCAACTACATAAATAAGGTGAAAAAAATCTGTAAATATATAAATTAATTATAGGCAAATATCACTTTTTAGTATAACGGATAATTTTTTTACAAATTTTTAGAACAACTTTTCAATAATCTATGCAATAATATATCTATAAACAATATCTTATCTATTCATAATGTCATGATTTGCATGTAGGTAGGTATCAAAGACATAGCCAATAATAATTATCCAACTTACCAGTACAATTTATTTTGTTACCGATTTCTACACTAGATACATACCTATACATAAACCATAAAATATACCAAGGAATTGCTAGTGTATAATTAAAAAAATATAATATTTTAAGAAATTTTTATAGTAAAAAATTAAGAAATTTGCATCTAAAACTTGTTTCAGCGGGATTAAATCTCCGTAAATAACAAAAATGTCACTATTCTTATTTATTTTTTACAAAACCGAAGTATAGGTGTATTAGCTCCTAATGTAGTGTATCTTAATGGCGGTACAAAAAGTGTAAGTTTATTTCGTGAAAATTGACTTGGTGCTCTAAAATTAATTTTATTTAAAAGTTACGGACAATTTATTTGGGTTTTAATTACTTTTAACATAAACTTGGCATCCAAAAATTCTCGTCTGTTGCTGAAAGATAATTAGTTTTTTTTTTAACATGAATTTAAGTAAGTAAGCTATCCATAAATAGGATATCATTAGATAAAATAGGCATATGCCATCGCAAACTTTTTTGTAGACCTATAAAAGAGAAACAATACCACCGTACATTGTTTTGTTATATTTCAAACGGATTAGGGAGCGTTGATTCGATGAAAGTCGATTTGTTCCGACATCTTGAACAATTATCGTCACATTTTAACAAATTTAAAAGAAAACCATATTAAATGACACATTTAATCTTTCCTCTTGAATCACTGTATCTATTAATGTAAAACCGCATTAAAATCTATTGCGTAGTTTAAAAGATCTAAGCGTACAGACGACGAAAAGTGACTGTTTTATAATATGAACAGGTAGGAGCTATCTTCACGTCAGGTCAGAAAGTAATCAGAGAGAATCAAAATATCTGTACTAGTGTTTTTATATAATAGCTCATAAATGTAGTATAAATGTTACCTTGAAAGAATTCTTAAACTTGTGCAAAACAAAGAAATAATTTATTTACTAGAGTTTAAATAGTACATTATTTTTCAATAATATTAAAATATATATTTTTGTTTAAACTTCAACGAAGTATTGTATTACTTACATATAATAAACATGACAATAGAAATGTAACTATGACGCACTTGCACCAAAATTACGTGTATGTAAAAGAATCGACGACTGATCTGTTGTTAATTTGTTTTATCATTAACTCGCGCGTCGCCTACATACCTATAAATAGAAAATCATATAAACTGCTGTGAAGCAATAAGTAATGCGTTTAGGTAGGGTAAAGTTACTAGTCAGCCAACCATGAAATTGCCGATGCAAGAGGTACGCCTTAATCTTCAGGAGTGGCAATGCACGACGATTCCAATAGTGTTACATACAGCATAGTTTTATATCCTTAACTATGTGGCATACATCGAAGTTTCATCGATGGCAATACAACTCTATTTTGTATTATGCATTACCTACTTTGTCCTTAGGCGACTGTACCCATTTTCTATCACATGTGGGCGGAGCACCACTACAAGCTAGCTACAAGTTTGTATTTTCCAATCGCATAAAGAACATGTGCTTACGAAGTGGCCATATGGTGTTTTGTTTATAACAGGTATAGTAGATACTGCCTATTGTGCACGAGCGCAGCTGTTGACGTCTAAAGTTCACGACGGCCATTGTCTTCATTTGTTTACTTTGGGTTACCCGAGATGTCAATAAATTAGAACGTTTTAAACTATAATTAATGTCCGGTGGATACAGCATAAATGATCATGCCACACAATATAGGGTAGCAACAAATTAACCCGGCGTTTTTTTTTTTAATGGATGACAATGTAATAGTAACCCTCCCTACGCTATCGGTATACACAGGTGGGGCACCAATGAGAGATGATAGATAAGGATGAAATTGGCTCATAGTGACGAATTCATTAAGAACTAATCAAGATAGTTTCCAGGGGGAACCGCGTAGAGTCTGACAACTCCATTGATGTCTATATACAATGTCAGCTCGATTTTCATGAAGTTGCTGCGTAAACCGTCGTAATTAATTCTCGAATTCATCACGATGGGCTAACTAATATGCTTTCATGCCCAATCTTGCCATAATATTTTATTTTTATTGAAATATTCTTATTAATATCATAAAATTGTAAAGAAACGATGTCTATATATGAGACATATTTAAGAAAATACATATTATCGTCTTATACCGTCTATATGTTTGTTCCGGCACCACGCAAAAACACCAAGTTGAATGTGGTTTTTTAGTTGTATTCCTGAAGGTTTAATTTAAAATCGCGCGTGTAGAGTAGCGTGCAATAAATTAGTAGTTTATAAAATAATTAATATTTTGCCTATTTTATTATTAAATAATTAAATTTGAAAAAAATAAAAAGACTTGGAATATTTAATTGAAGTTTCTGTAGTACTAGTTCTATTTTATTAGATAGGTTTATATTTGAAAGTGTAATTACTAATCTTAAAATTATTAACTGTGTGTATAAAGAAACCTGGCAGAATACCAGCATTGTTATAGTAAAATATATGCTCTGGCAGCTTATGTTGTCAGGGCTTGTTTTTGTAGTTTTCACAGATGTTTTTTACGATACAATTACAACCCATTAAATTCCTAGTTTTGGACTCGCTCCTCATAAGAGGATTTCTTACTCCGTCATCACACGGAGCTTAGTTTTATTGTTGTTACATATATTTTCTGTTTTCTTATTATATCTCGGGATTTTTTTTCAATGTTTGATAAAATGTGGATGGTTGTTTTGGTTTAAAGTAGCAATTATTCTAAAACATAGCTACCATAATGTCTGACAAGAGGTAATAATAATAATATAGTTCAAAAACAATATCTTATTTTCAAAGGTGGCTTCGTGTATACTAAGTACATATATTAATTAGTCTAAAGTTGACTAAGACGAGATGAACTATGATGAGAGATTGACATTCACAGTAGTATAAAATAATAATAAACGCATCTTTTTTTTTTCAGTTTAAGCAGCGCTGAAGAAAGCGATAAAATGCTTGATGGTCGACCTTCAGTGGCGTAAGAGAAAATAACGTACAGCGACGATATTTTATATTTTGATTGAGCTTAGGCTAGTCCTATAAAGTGTCCCCCTAATTGTAAAACGTTCGAATGGTAGTATTGGTACTTTAAATATTAGGCAATAAGTATAATGCTGAATTTATTTTTTTGATACTAGGACAATAGTGATGTTCCAATATTAATTGTATCTTACAGTGTATTCCATGTAATGCTTGTATACATTTTTTGGTACAAATATTGATTTACTTAGTAAATCAATAAAAGCAAACGGCCTTGTGAAGTTTTGTCGAAGTTACATTTAGGCATCTTTTTAATTAAAGCATTTTCTTTTGCTATTGTATGACAATATCAGTTGGAAGATGTCAATTAGAGATTTTTTTCAAAATCAAAAAAGCACAAAAATTGTGTAATATTATTTATTGACTTAGTAGGTACCTATACGTACACACGCTAGGTATTAATTACTTAAGTATTCTTTTTAAGTGTTCAAAATAACAATATTATTACAAAATTTTCTTATAATCGTATATAATGTTCGTAATATAATAATATACACCTTAGGTGTCGTATAACTTGTGTTGCTACATTGTATAATGAAGCTTTGGTATTTGTCTTAATAATACAAGTAATTAGTAAAAGACATGTGGCCAAATTATCGTCCAGACCTAGAAGTAAATGTGAATATTTACCTACGTATTTATTATTAATCTCTATAGGATATCAAATATCGCAATCTCAAAACAAATATAATTCTCATTTATATCCACATGTTTTGTGTCGTAGAGTCAAAATTCTAATATTTTTTATTTATTTTATTAGATTGTAAGTTTTGGATTGTTTATTATAATAATTATACCTACCTATAAGCTAAATTATATGACGAAAAGACGAATTAAGTTCAACGTTTTGGTTTTAACATTTGTGAATTTCTAAACAACCAATGTAACGATGTTGTTATGTTTCTTCAGGGTAAAACGGGATCGTAGTACTAGCTACTTTTGGAGCTGGTTATGAGATGCTATGAGCATCTCATGAGATGTCTATTTTCTAAATAACTAGCTCCATTATTTTTTTTATACTTTCTGAATTAAACCATTTCTTTTAATTAGTACAAACATGTATTTTATATACATAACCGAGATCTGAACTTGGATGCTAATTTGTTGTCAAGCATTTAAAATTTATTTTTGTTAGTATCTAAGGATCGGCACAGACGAGGATTCCTGTCGTTTATTACACATATAGGCGTTTAAAATGAACAAAAACTTATATTGCAAATGTATAGGAATCGTATAAGTATCTATACACAAAAAGGAACATCATCCGTGATTAAAAAGACCCATCGTCTGTACAGATTTTAATACATAATCTAGGAAATAAATTGTCATAAGCCGCCATAATTTTTTGAACGTCTTCTCATAGATGATTTTTTCTTTGACACCGTCCCTTAGGTTAAGGTTGATGACAAGTAGTAATGTATATGTGAATTCATAGAGAGTACCGGGAATGCGTTCCAGAATTATATCTTTACGCAATACAGCCTCTGGAATATTTATGATAAGAATTGAGTAGGCATTTAAATGAGTTATACACTAATCCTCAAGAGTACTTTGTCGTATATATTGCTCTCTCTCTCATATAATCAAAATATTATAAGTACTTACTTCAGTTCTGTTTGAAATTTCTTTTTATATCAACACAAAGGAATAAAATTTAATTATTTTACCATATATTATGTAATAGAATAAATAATAAAAGATGTAAATAATTGAAGCAAATAAAATATATAAAGCATATAATGATAAAATTTAAGAATTCTTGACGTTTTGTTAGAACAGTTTATTTATTTTTGTTCTACAAATAAATGTTTATATAATTATTGGTGACAGATATATATTGGATAAATCTACACAAGATGACATTTTTTCGGCTACTTTTATTGTAATTTTTATTTATTGAAATATATTTGTGTGATAATTTTCTTTTTAGGTAATAAAAGTTTTACTAATAGAGAAAATAAATTGTCATCCTCTATCATTGTAGTTTTATTTATATTGAAATATTTATATAATCTTTTGCTTTGAATTGTAGGGCTTTCAACGTCTCACTTCCATGTCAGTAGGATGTGGTGTACAATGAGAAACGTGTTTGCATGAATGTATGAGATATATTGGTTAAATTACTATTATCTCAAATTCTTCAAGTATTGCCAACACACAAATTATGCTATAATGGTGGCCACTTCTTTTTACATGTGTTCGGAATAAAGATTGAATGATTTTTTATTGCGGTCACACAAAATTCACGGGTAAAAACTAATTAATAATAAACGAGCACGTGTCCCGTATAAAAAAAGATACAAATGTTAGAGTTCACTACAGCTTGGTGTAACTGTCACTTTTATTTTGCTTATTAAATATTATAAATACCAATACCAATATTAAATTGGCGAGAAAGGGTTCAGAATAAAAAATATAGGCCCTGAACCTTAATACGTTCTACTAAGAGTATACCCTGACCATATGTAGCACTTGCATCAAGTGTTGTTAATCATACCCTTGAGGAGTAAGTGAAAATAAAACAGCAAAAGGAATGGAGGAAATTGAAGAGTCAGACATTCTAAAAAGTTCTTAAACGATAAACTTGAGGGATGGGATAAACTCATCTATAGTAGTGGCAGACAACAAGCAAGACTCATAATGGGTGTCTTAATTGGGCATAAGCTTTTAAAGCATAACTAAACAAGATAGGTGTATCCTTAGGCACACTGTGTAGATTGAGCAGTGAGGAATGAATACATGGAACACCTGATGTGCAACTGTTTCGTCGACAAGTATGCATATGAGTCTACTGGCAATGGCAGAGCCAGGGGACTATAAATATTTTAAACCGCGGGATATCGCAAAGGAAACACAAAAGATTCCAATGAGTCGACGTGCCACGACTTAGCTGACCCTATACGCGAATAAAAGATAAGTATTAATATTATCTATGGTTTTACCAAATTACAAAAGACATAGAATGATTACAGTATAAAGCATTGTTTATTATAAAATAACAAGATCGTGGTATTGTCCGTATTTTTACGAAACCAATTACATATTTCTTTATAAATAAATGTAAATAAACTTAAAACTAATCAGTCTCTGTTGGTGCGGCGCCACCAAGGAACTCCGGTTACATCCTCTTCAGGGCAAATATTCACTGTTGGTCTGAAAAATAGAGAAGAAAATGTTATAGCGTGAAGGCTTCCAGTATAATGTCTAATTGAAAACTTAAAATAATGTATATCCATTTTATATTTTTGTACCTGTATACTTGACTATGAGGTAATGTGGATGCTAATAAAGGGCAAGCTGTGGCTGGCGGCTCCTGTAACAAAAAATTTAATATTTTTTAATTCATTGGTATTGTTTAGTAAAGCTTTATGAAATTTCTAGTTACGAAAACAATTAAGAAATATTATTTTTTATTATCAGTTTCTTAGGTTCTTAAAAATATTTTTTTAACTTGATTGATTGTAAAATAATACAAATATGAACAAGGTCTTTTAAAATGCTAAGTACATTTACCTGAATAGATTGCATAGGTATATGCATATTGGCTCGAACTTTACGTTGCCTTATTTCTCTACGGACACAGCACTGTACACCAAGCAGTACGGCACATACACATGACGAGAGGCATCCTGAAATTATCAATATTGTGTCAAAATACACATATTATTCAATACCTAACAAATGATATAATTGTTTATATTTACCAATATAAACTAATACTCCAAGGTCTCCATTTCGATTTGTACGCCTTAATACAATACCAGCAATGCATAATGAAATCCCTGTTAATATACCTACGACAAAAATTACCTGGAAAATTAATGTATGAATTAGAAAATATATTACTGTTATTACTTTTTATTATTATATTAAACTTTTGATAAATACATAATGATATTAATGTTTAATTGAAAGTTAAAGATTTAATTTAATATTTTCAAAATTGCCATTTATCTAAACTCTTTATATTAATTTTATTAAATTTAATTTCTTTATTTAAATCTTTATAGTATAAATTCATTCTGTGTCTTTTATTCATTTTTGTTAAAAAAAAATGTTGGTATTCTTAACTGAAAAATTGCTGATCTCTGGAAATACTGAATATTAAGTATTTTTTATATACATACTATTCCCATTGTTCATAGAAATTTAAAAATTATACATAACAATAACCCTATTTCAGTTATTGAAGTGTTTTATCTTTATGCTAATTTCTTAATTTGTCTTCTCTCAACAAATTATAGATTTGTAGAAGCTTTTAAGGGTTATGAATGAAAGGATAAATTATTAGATTATGTTAATGTCATAAAAACTAGCAAAATGTGTATTATTTTATGTAGCTTAACAAGATTATTTGTTCTTACCTGTAATATATAATAGCATACATATTCAAATCCTGGACAATGTCCCCCACACGCCCCTATAATAGGTACTTCTGGGCTCACAGATGGCACTGGCGGTACTGGGGACCGACTAACAGCTGTATGAGTCTCAACATCATACAGTGGGAGGGAGAATGCAGATGCACATTGAGGGAATGTGTATGTGTCTGAAGCATGAGTAGGCACAGTTTCTCCTTTCTTATAATTTCGCCAGGTGCCAGCACCATATGGCGATTGGTACACAGGGGATGGTGGGCCATAATTTCTTAATGTTCCATTATAATACTGAGGGACCTGTAATGATACAATCTTTATAATAATGAAAATAATAGAATAGAATAATAGACCAGAGAGAGACTTTGTACAAAAGTCGATTGCTTGGGCACCACTGTCCCATTCGTTTTTCTACTGTAAAGCAGTTGTATTTGTATAGCTGTGTTTCAGTTTGAAGGGTGGGATATGGTGTGAATTTACAGGGTACAGAGAAATAACAACTGAGTCCTCAGGAATGGCAACGCATGGGGGTATCATGGGCAAAACAGTATACTCTGTTATGTCCATGGTACTGCTCATGTCTATAGGTGACGGTTACCACTTTCCATCAGGTGGGCTGTCAGCTTGTTTGCCATTCTAAGTTGTATAAAAAAAATTTATAATATCACAATTATTTAATATAATAAGTTTTAAATTATAGCTTTAATATTGTTATATAATGCCAAATGATATTTACATATAGATGTATATATAAATGAGACAGAGAGTATATAATAAAAGAACATTCAGTTTAAATGCCCTAGGAGAGGATTGTTAATATGTGTCTAGAGGTCCATTTACATATACATATGACCTGTATTTTTTTAATGGATGATAATGGAATAGTTACTTTGCCTGTGCTAACATATATGCTGACGAAACACTATTGATAAAGTGAGGGATATTAAGTGAGGATGAAAAGGCAGATCATTGTGTTAGTCAGTTTTTTTTTTATTTTTTTAATGGATGGCAATGAAATGGTTACCTTGCCTGTGATATCGGTATACACTGACAGGACACTAGTGAAGGGTGATAGGTGAGGATGAAGCAGGTCAATTAACCCATCATGACAAACTCAATAAGAATTGTTCACAATGGTTTCCAAGGGGAACCACATGGAGGTCATCCTAATATTGCTAGCAATGGGACTGTCAAACTCCATTGCTAACAATCCTTTTCCCCCTTGTGTTAGTCAGTTAAACTATTGTGATGAATACTGTTATTATTATTATTATTCTTAATACATACACAAGTCAACTAAATAGATTATTAACTTTAATCAGCCAACGATGGATAAGAGAAATAAAAAAATAACCTTTTTTAGTTACATCATAGACACACCAGTATTTTTGTTTTTTCATACCATAAACAAAGTTAGGGTTGCTATATACAGTTCACAATAAACTATACTTTAACAAATACTCCTGACAGGGTATATTGTTAGTAATATGGCTGGTAGTCTACAATACTTTTAATGATTGATAATGGAATAGTAATCCCACTTGCACTAACAGTATGTACTGGTGGGGCACCAGTGAGGGATGAAAGATTAGGGTGGTTTCCACGGGGGATCATATGGAAATCAACCTGAAAGATTGACCTCTGCATAGTTTCGCCTGGAAAGTTCCATAGTACTTCAAAGGTACCCTACTAAGATAAAACAATAGTGAAGGCAGACACTATTCTAAATTCACAAATAAAAAACAGAACAGTTATATTAATGGGGAAATTCTGTAGATGTTGCATCGACTTTTCTACTTCAAAAGAAATGTCTACGTATTATTTATAATATGTATTCAGATGAGACTTTAAGAAATATATTTAAAAATGAAAAATATCTCAGCCTGACTAACATATATATTATGGAATTGTGTGTTTTTGTTAATAATAATATGACATATTTTGTTAATAAATCCGATATTCGAAATAATTTACGTAATAAATACAAATATGATATTTGTCTACCAACAATAAATAGTTATACATATGGAAGGAGTGCAATTGTAATGGGTATTAAAGTATTTAATCATCTTCCCTTAAACATTAAATGTCAGAATAAGCATATGTTTAAAATTAAACTCAAAGCCTGGCTTTTTGATAATGTTTTTTATAATTTAAATGAATACTTTAATCTTAAAACTCATTAAATTAATAATTAATAATAATTGACATGTAAGCGAAATTATGTTTATTTTATTTTAATTTGGTTATGATTATTCTTATTCTTATTAAATGTATTGTATAATGTTTCTTATTTATTTGTAATCAATTAATGTTTCGATGTTAATATAATTACCTGTTCTTAAATTGTTGCATGCCCGATAGGGTATAACTGTTGATACTGATGTCAAATTCAAAGCAATAGTTACTGCTATATGTATGTACACAGGAATGTTGCGTTGGTTTGGTCATTTGGAGAGGATGGATGAAAGAAGAATTACGAAAGAGATTTATCGAGCAAGAATGAATGGAGATGTCGGTAGGGGCCGCCCTAGACGGACGTATGTCGACCAAATAGGCGACGTGCTGAAGAAGGGCCAAATTAAAAGTACCCGTAACCGACGAGCGTGTATGACAAGATTGATGAATGTGGAAGAAGCGAAAGAGGTTTGTATGAATCGAAGCATTTGGCGTTCCATTGTTTCTGCCTACCCTAATGGGAGACAGGCGTGACAGATATGTATGTATGTATGTACAGTTAGCAATAAAATTCTATTCTATTCTATTCTAATATAGACTTTCATAAATATGGTTTCAATTGAAGAAAAGATGTCTGTTTTAGCATTTAGAAGTCAAATTAATTATTTTTTTAAGTATTAATTAAAATAATCTAAATGATTTGTTAGTACAATAATTATTCCATGATAGAACTTTTTTTTAATGGATGATAATGAAATAGTCTGCACTATCAGTATACACTGGCGGGGCACCAGTGAGGGATGATTGGTGAGGATGAAAAAACGTCAGTTAGCCCATTGTGACTAATTCAATGATAAATTAGTCACCATAGTTTCCAGGGGGAACCGCGTGTAGGTCGGGCCGATAGGATATATTGATAGTAATAGGAACTAACCTCCCCATTACTAACAATCCCTTCCCTCAATGACAGGAGACTGGTAAAAAGGTAGTCTTATGGGACTTACATGATAGGCATTATCTGATGTCGAACTATCCGTTCCAGCAACTTGGTATACTGGAGTATTGATATCTTCCGCCCACGGGTATTTTACCCTTTGCTGCGCTGCTGATGTAAATTGTTGTTCGCTCCGCGGTACTACTGTCGTCTGATAAGGATGTACGCTACGAGGCGACAATTGCTGTTTAAACATGGTTCTTTTTAAATGTTACCTAGAAGGAAAATTTTCAAATAAAATTCTCAGATACTTATGGTGGAACAATGTTTTCGGTGTTAGAAGTCAATATAAAACTTAAACTGACCTCATTTTCCAATTATTATTTGACAGTCTTTAGTATTTAAAAATAATAAGATTGATTATAATTTCATTTATAAAAAAAAATTATAAATCTTTATTTATTAGACCAAACACAAATGATTAATGAAAATACAAGGACGCCGCCATATTTGTTATAATTTGAAGGTTTTTTTTTTTTTTTTTTTTTTTTTTTCTTTTTTTGTGGCGTTCACCCCGATATTAGGGTATTTTGCCAAGAACAAAACGGGGAAACGATAATAGTAATAAAAATACCTAACACAAACGAATTTAGAAAGGATAAGGATTAGGTCTAGGATATTTATAGGATATGAAGGATATACTTGTACATATGAGAATATACTTATAAATATATAGGAAAAGCAATTGATGCAACTATAAATGTATTCATGTAATATAACTAAATCTTAATATTGTTATCATATATATATGAAGATAGTATTTTATAGATAATAGGATCATTGGAAGAAAGTAGAGTAAGAATAGAAGTTGGGAATGGAACACGGATGGATCGGAGATGATTAAAAAGGAGGTGTGGTCAAATTTAGAACATGAGAAGAATATATGATTCAAGTCCGCCACTTCAGCACCGCAATTACACGACGAACTTTGTACAATACCAAGCTTGTATAAATGAGAAGGTGTGCATACGTGACCTAGACGCATACGAGTTATAATAGTTGTTGCGGTCTTTCCAAGCTTTAATTTACAAAACCATGGTTTGAAAGGAATATCGGGTTGTATAAGGCGATAAAATCTTCCTTTTATTGTACTTGTTTTTTCCCAATATTCCTTCCAGGCATACCTTAAATATATTTTTGGGAGACAAGCTAGGTCACTACAGTAATTATGATACGGATACATATCACCACAAGTTACAGCCTCTCTTGCAATAAGGTCAGCTTTGTCATTGCCGCTAATACCACTGTGTCCTGGTAACCAGGCAAAAGAAACGGAATACCTTCTCAACATGCAAAGATAAAGACTTTGTCTTATGTCACAAATAATGGGATAAACTGGTTTTGATTTAAACGGATATTTGGCTAGAGCTTGCAAAGAGCTCATAGAGTCAGTGAAAACTATTGCCTTATGTAATTTCATTAAAAGTATATATTCTACAGCTTTTAAAATACCATAGCATTCCCCGGTAAAAACTGAAGATTCCGGTGGAAGTTTAATTTTTTGAACGATATTAAATTGTGAATGAAACACACCCACACCTACACAACCGCTATTGTCTGGTTTTGATGCATCAGTAAAGATGTAGTGCCATTCATTCCATTCAATGTCAGTTATAAACATAAATTTGGCATTCAATTCTGAATCATTTTTTGATAACCCAAAATCATATTTAATATTAGGAGATAAAACTAAAGATTGATATGAGCATTTATAAATGGGAAAACAGGACGATGTAAAAGTGGGAGATTCTATGGATTTATATTTTTCATAACTTTGTATTAAACATGGAGGTTTTTTATGTTTCCAATAAGATGAAGACGAAATAAAGATATATAGTTGAGATAACTTTTGAATAAGCGGATGATCAGATAATTGTAAACAACGAAAAAAGAAGCGATCAGATAAATATTGCCTTCTTAAAACCAAAGGTGGATCACCGACTTCGAGCTGTAAAGCATTGATTGGACTTGATTTCATTGCTCCAGAGATAATCCTCAAGGCCTTTGATTGAATTAAATCCAATTTCTTAAAAGCAAATGAACTTCCTGGAGCTAACAAAAAAGTTCCATAATCAATGACACTCCTTATAAGACCATTATAAGCAAGTTTTAGTGAAACGGGATGTGCTCCCCACCAAACTCCAGCAAGGCACCTAAGAATGTTGAGGTTACGCTCACATTTCGTGGAAATATAATTACAGTGGGACAGACCTGTTAATTTATTATCTAGCACGATACCTAAAAATTTAATTTCAGTCTTTATAGGAATGTATGAGTTATCATAAAGCACCTTAATTTGTTGCGGTGATCTCATTCTTGAAAACAAAACTACACTACTCTTGGTTACAGAAAGATTAAGACCATTTGCATCTAACCACGTTTTTAACATATCTAATGAATCAGATAATTTGGCAGAAGCAGGTTCTATGGACTTCGCAATAAAATATAATAAGAGATCATCAGCATATTGTAAAATTTTTACGGATTTATCAAGGAATGATTCTAGATCGTATGTGTATATGTTGAATAAAATTGGACTGAGAACAGATCCTTGTGGAAGGCCTTTCCATACTGTTCTAGATAATTTGGTATCTTCATCTAGATCCATATGTATTGTTCTTTCTGATAAAATATTAATAATGAAATTAGAAAGCATTACCGGTACATTTAAAGCTTGTAATTTAGTTTTTAAAATAGAAATTATTACATTATCATAGGCAGAATTTATATCTAAAAAGGCTGAGAGGATTGACAAATTTTGTGAGAAAGCTATATGAATATCTGAAATAAGAACGCTCACATTATCTAAGGTGCTCTTACCTTTCCTAAAACCAAACTGGTTCGGGGATAGTAAGTTATTACTTTCTAAAAACCATTCTAGACGGTTCTTCACTAAATGTTCAGCTAGCTTTAGTAAGACAGAGGAAAGTGCAACAGGACGGTATGAAGATGGTTCAGAAGGTGGTTTATGAGGCTTTAGAAATGGTATAATAATCTGAGACTTCCATGAAGTAGGTATATTTCCCGAAATAATTATGGAATTAATTATATTTAAAAAGTAAATTAATGTCGCATCGCTAGCATTTTTAAAAAAGGAATACGGTATACCGTCTTCTCCCGGTGCAGAGTCTTTAATACAAGCTAGAACACCTTTAAGTTCTACAAGAGTAAAAGGAGACTCAAGTTCGGATAATTCGTCAGAGACGGATAGAGAAATATTGTAAAGGCATTCCGGCACATAACTAGGAGCAAGGCGATCTAAAAATTTATTCGCTAAAGTTAAATCGAGTGCAGAACGTGATGTATGATCACTGAAGGCAGATCTGAATCTTTTAATATTATTCCAAACGACTGATGAATTAACTTCTGGACAGATAGAAGAACAAAATCTTCTCCAACCTTCCAATTTCTTTTTTTTCAGTAGTTTTCGAGTAGAACGTGAAACTGCGGTGTAAATTTCAAAATTTTCTGATGTCATGTAATTATTATAATTTTTTTCAGCCTCTTTACGATTTTTAATTGCTTCCGTACAATCTTTGTCCCACCAAGGTGGGGAGGGAATTTTCCCTGAAGCACTATTTTTAACAGGAAATAATAAATCAGCAACCTCCTTCATATTAATTATCAAGTCATTACAACATTGATGTTCATTTCCATGATAAACAATAGGTAACTCCGATATTTTATTATCTAAATATTGTTTGTAAATATTCCAGTCTACATTTGATAAATTATATTTAAGTCGAGGACCACTCTTTCGACTTGAGGGAATGGAAATTGGAAAAGAAAGAATGAGGGGAAAGTGATCGCTTCCGAAGGTAGAGGAATGAGGATACCACGACAGTGAAGAAGCTAAATCAGAAGAACATATTGAAATATCAGGAGCACTAAACCCTTCATTCGGTGCAGTTCTACGTGTCGGTACATCTGAGTTAACAATACATAAGTTGTAAGTGTCAATTATCGTCAGGAGTTTTCCACCATAAAAATTAGAAGTAGAACTGCCCCACGATTGGTGCTGAGAATTAAAATCGCCCATTACGAGAAAAGGTTTAGGTAAAATTGAAAATAATTGTTCTAGTTGTGAATATATTTGGCATGTAGGATCAGGAATATATAAAGTAACAAAACAGATACCATTTATAATTATAGCAGCTGCATTAATGCCGCTATATACAGGAAGCGAAAAAGAAGAAAAAGGAAGGGAGTTTTTGACCAATATGGCAACACCGCCATATCCGTCAGCTCTATCATCACGGAGACTTGTAAAGCCTGAAATCCTAAAAGGATATCCTGGCTTTAACCAAGTCTCTTGTAGAGCTATTATAAAAGGATTATATTTATTAATCAAATAAAATAAGTCTGATTTCTTATTTGTTATGCTACGACAGTTCCACTGAATTATTTGGACTTTGTAATCCATTGCGAGAAGTTAACAATTGAGACAATACATTGTACATGGCATCGTTGGACGGTGGTAAAGTTGTTTGTATCATTTTTGATTGCGATAACACTTTAATAAGCATGAGAATAATATCAATGATGGATTGATTATTGTCAATATTATTTGATGATAATGCACAACCATTAGAGGGAGCAGGAATATTATATTCCTTAACTATGGCTTCATGGGCAGAACGATCATATCCTTGTTGTATTTTTTGAGGAGAGCGTGGTTTAAGTGTAACTGTTTTTTTATATGATGATTGTATATGTGGTAATGATGATTTCTCTTTAAGGAAAGAAGATTGAAAATGAGATTTATTGGAAGGAGATGATGATGTTAATACATCTGAATATAGTTTAGAAGTTGGAGGATGAAATTTTGATGCTTCAGCATAAGAAACACAACTATGGGCCATTGTTTCTTTAATGGCTTTCTGACGTGCATATTCAGGACATTTTTTACTAATTGCTGAATGAGAACCATTACACAAGATACAAGAAACATTTTCCTCATCTACTTCACATTTATCACCTGTATGATTTTGCCTGCATTTATAACACCGAGGATTTGAACGACACTGCATCTTGACATGTCCGAACCTACAGCAGTTATAGCATTGGATAGTAGGGTAAATGTACAAATCTACAGTTAATGATGTGTAAAACATAAATACTCTTTTTGGCAATATTTGTCCATCAAAAGTAATAACAATGGTTTCAGTATTAATAAAACTTGGTTGTCCTTCATTAATTGTCTTTTTCTTTATTCTTCTGGTTTTTAGAATTTTCCCACAACCTATCGGTACTGATATATTTTGGATTACTTCCTCTTCTGTCCAATCTTTAGGAATACCCCTCACAATTCCCATACGGGTTACATGGAAAGAAGGTATAAATGCCTTAAAATTATGTGTCTCTAAGTTACTATTATTTAAAAATGCATTTGCATTTTCAAAATTTGAGAAAGAAAGCGATAAACGGTTTCTTCCTATTCTTTTGAGGCTACCATTCACTATATT